AAGCGCGGGCGGCCGAGGCCGAGGCGCTGCTGGCCCGGCGCGAGAAGGAGCGCGAGGCGGCGGTGGCCAAGCTGAGCGACGAGCAGCAGCGGGCCGACCGGGTGCTGATCCACAACCTACAGCTGGCCAATCGGGTGCGACAGCTCGAGGAGGGCCTCCAATCGGGCGGCGAGGGCGCAATGCGGGACGTGGAGGGCGGCGCCGATGGCGCCATGAGCAGAAGCGGCGGTGGGTTGGTGGAGCGGGTGTGGGCGATGTGGAATCAGCGAGATCGAAAGGGGGTGATGGTGATCACCGTGCTCTCCCTCGTCGTCTTCTGGTACCTCACCACTGTCTACTCGGGCGGATGACGCACCCTCTTTAATAAAAAATATAGATGCAGCAAGGACATGTCGAGGTTGGATCGCATGTTCTTATGTTTTATTAAAGTAAAGTGAATCTCCAAAACACTCTCCAAAAGGGCGTACGCGACGGTGGCGACCTGCGCAGGCCGGCCTAGAAAGGGGTTTGCCACGCTGCATTCGGCCACGTCATCATACATTAGTCACGGAGGCCGATCATTGAACGAGGGGTGGAGATCATGGAGGCGGAGCTGTACCGGTGAGCTTGAAGTGGGCGGGAGGGTGGTTGGGGCCGGCCAGGTCGAATGGCGATCCGTAGACGCCGATGTAGAGGGCGACGGTCTCGTTGGCCGAGGCGCCGATCGGGATGTCGATCTGGTGGTAGGGCGTGTTGGTCTCCTTGTCCGAGTAGTCGTAGTTCTCCTGGTCGGGCACCACCTCCGTGCCCACGAACAGCCTTTTTTTTTTGCGGCCGAGCCAATGTCGTGCTGACGTCAGCATTGCATGGAGGCACCACAGGCGTTTTCCTTGGTGGGGGGCGTACCAGTAGTAGCCCCGTGCCCAGGGCTCGACCTCGAGGAGGCCGATGGAAGCGAGCGAGGACGACGCGTTGAAGACGTAGTACGTGATCTGGTTGGGACCCAGCGATCCCTCCACCGTCTGGCCCACACCCAAGGGGACCACCGCTGCAATTTGCAAACCACACCACACCACACGAACACGACACGACACGCATACGACACACACGGTCAAAGAACTGTCTGAGCAAAAAAGAAAAAGCAGAAAAAAACAAGAACAGGGGCATACGGATGCGGCAGTTGTCGCCGGCCCAGCCGGGGTAGCAGTAGCAGGTGTGCTCGGTGGTGCAGGCGCCGTAGGGCGGGGTGCAGCCCGCGACGCACGACGTCGACATGTACTGCCGCACCTGGTACGCGCACTTCCGGTTTCCGTAGATACCGATGTACCTGCACGCGTGGTCGGTCAGTCGGTGGTGTGTGTGTGTGTGCGTGCGTGCGTGCGTGCGGTGTGTGTGTGCGTGCGTGCGTGCGTGCGGTGTGTGTGTCGTGTGTGTGGTGCGTACCACGTGTTGAACTGGGGCTCGGGGATGGCGATGGTCATCTGAGGGGAGTAGGAGACGTCGGCAAAGTCGTACGTGGTCTGGGTGGGCACCGAGCCCGCCCTCACATAGATGTCGCAGTCCGCGGCGCTGTCCCCGTCCTCCTGCCGTGGCCACACCACAACCAATGAATTAAAATATAAGAATATTTAACGTGTTTGGCCAATTGGGCGAGAGGGAGTGCGCACCTGGTCGACTTCGATGGTGATGGCTGAGAGAGAGCTCGACGAGAAGTGGTAGTAGTTCCAGACGCCGTCCGCCACGTAACCATCAATGGCCTGGTTGTCGGCCAAGGGCTGATTCACTGTCGATCGATCACCCAACATCCAACATTCGAATCAGAATACGACCACATGTCGGTCGATCAGCGCACATTGTTGTAAAACGATCAAATACTAAATAATAAAAAGACAGGACTCCATTGGGGAGATGGGGCGTACTGGTTTCGCAAAGGCGACCAGAGAACTGGTAGCTGCATCGGCACGTGGTGCCTGAGCACTGTCCGTGGCGCGAGCATTGACTGGGGCACGAGCCTGCCCTCACCCAATCCATGTCAGGGCTTTATATATATAAAAATCGAACAACCAATCATCTACGCGATGGATGGGAAAAGCGAAAGAGGCACGCGCCCCGGGAGAGGACGTACTCTCTTGGGTGACGAGGAGTTTGTAGGAAGTCGACACGAATCCGTAGATGCCAACGTACATGGTGGTGGAGGCACTGGCGGGCTGCACCGCCAGCCTGGCTGACGAGGCCTGCGATGTCCGTCGGGTCAGAGGAGAAGCAATGGTTTGGTTCGGGGTTGGGTGAAGGCGCGGTGCGTACGGTGCTGATGTCGCGGTAGTCGAACGAGGTGTGGTTGGGCAGGGCGCCGAACTTGATGAACAGATCGGCGTCGCCGCCGGAGCGCGTTTCGTTGAGCTGGACGGTCAGAGCGTGGAGGTCGTTGACAAAGAAGAAGTAGTACTGCCACGCCATCTGGGCCACGGTGTTCGCCGCCGGCTGGTTCAGGTTGAGCCTCGTCACGGCTGAACACGACACAAGTCAAGGCCGCGCACACAGGTTAGCCCTGCCACCTTGTTGTATAGTGGAACGCGAAAAATGCAAGGAATGTGAATATGTACGGGTGGAGCAGTCCAGGCCGCCCCAGTACTCCTGGCACTGGCACTGGCCACGAGCACACGTGCCGTGGCCGCTGCACCCCTTGGGCACTCACCACCGCTGCTGCCTCCTACACCGCACACATTACCGCACACGCACACAATCAGACACGACTCCGACTCCAATCCAAGCCACCCAGGCACACAACACAGGTGCAATGGGTGTACCGGTGACGGTGACGCGGATGGTGTAGTCGCACTGCATGAAGCCGTGCACGCCGGTGTACCAGCGGCGGCTCCGGTTGTTGACCGCCTGCAGCGTGAACGACGTGCTGAGGCCGATGTCGTTCTGGTCGTAGTCCCGGCGCGTGGGGATGCTGTCGTGGCGCACGTAGAGGTCGCAGTCGCCCGTCGAGTTGACGGTCCACGTCAGCACCTGCCCGGGCTGGGTGTCCGTCACGAAGTAGCGCCAGGCCCCGCCCTCCACGCTGTCCACCACATTCTGGCCCGAGACCAACGTTCCCACCGCTGTCGACACACACAACACACACGACACAAAAGACACAGTCAGCGGCCATGCAACACACAACACGTGAGACGTGCACGGGGGGTTGAGAGGCTGGAAGGGTACGGATGGAGCAGTCCTGGCCGCCCCACTGGTCCTGGCACACACAGCGACCGTCGGCTCCGCACTGGCCGTGCCGATCCTGCACCCCGCAATTGCCCGGACACTGCGCCTGGAGCACAGCCTTTGTTTGGCGACACCCCACCAACGCGCACGTCGCTGCACGGTCAGCCACAGGAGTGGGTTTTTTTTTGTATTTTGTTTGTGGGGGGGGTACCTGAGGTTCGCTGGCGAGGCCGTCCTTCCATTCGTCCACGCTTACGGAGGCGGCGACGGCCACGAGGGTCGCGGCTAGTAGAACCGCGAGAGCGGGCTTCATCCCTTTGATGTGCATCATCAAGTTCGGCCAGGGAGAAGAGAAAAGCAAGAGGAAAAAGAAGTGCCAAACCGTGTGCTGATTGGATGATGCGAAATATAATTTAATTTGAAGCTCCGGGAGGAAAATGGAAGTATGTACAAAAAGAAAGGGGGTGTTTTCACTACCAACATGCTGTCGTGCCGGGAGCTTTGGCATCCGAACGGTTTGCGAGGCGTGGACGGTCTACCATCATGCGGAGGAGGCCTCGCGCAGCTGCTCGACCAACCATTTCACGCCCTTGACCACTCCGTCCCTGTAACACGTGACGCATGAGCCTACGCGTGGCGCAGAGAAACAGAGGAATCGCACACCACAGGACGGATTGGTTCATACCCGTTTAGTGCGCAGATGGGGAACAGAGCGGACGGACGGGAAGAGGTCGCAGCCAGGGCGCCCATGGACTCCTTCATTCGCTCCACGACCTTGGGGTCAGCCACATCCTGACAGCAGCAGCAGCACGCACACACCACGGGACCCGCGAGTGAGTTTGTGAGCTGGAGGTGAGTACAAAGTGTAACGGCGTTACCTGTTTGTTGAGTAGAATCAAGACTGGAACTTTGGCGTCGAGCTGAGGGTCGGTCATGATGGATTCTGGACGGGAGTCACTCACAGTGAGCGCCAACAAGGAGACGAGGAAGAAGGGCCGAGAAACGTACGAAAGGCGGAGCAGGCCTCCTCGAGTCGCTTCTCGTCCGCCGCATCGAGCAGGAAGAGGAGACCGCTGGCCTCCGAGTAGTATTTCTGCCGTGTGCGATGTACGTGTGAACAATCAGCAACGACCAACTGGAAAGGAAGTGGCAAGGGCGAATGAAGTACCGGCCAAATCGAACGAAGGCCGGACTGTCCGCCCAGATCCCACAGCACTAATCGCTCCCTCCCTGTATCCACACGCCCAACTATCACAGTGCACAGAAAGCAGCGAGGATCAGCAGGTGTGAGATGTAGGAGAAGCCTGGCGGGGAGAAACGCGGAGAAGGTACTGTTGAGCCCCACAGTGGGCGCAATGCGGTCTGGAGGCAGAGCTTCCTTTTCACCGTATGTGGCCTTCATGCGCTCCAGCAGTGTCTGTCCAAAGCCATTGAAGCAACACGTGTCGGCACAAGCTGACCTCCTCAGGGAGTGGTGGTTGTGGGGGGGGGTGATGTACGGTTTTGCCGGCGTTGTCGAGACCAAGGATGAGCGCATAGTACTCCTTCTTTGCGAACGCCTGCTCAAAGAGCCCGTACAGTAGCCCAAACATTGTGCAGCTCTCTAGCTGATTCTTGTTGTCCTCTTCGAGTTTCTAATCGATGAATGCGAGTGCGACGTGTAGCGCTTTTCTCGACTTTCCTTTGTCCGTCGAACTTTTCCCCGGCATTTCCAAGCACAACACACGCAGGCAAATTTGATCACAAATTTCGCCATCAACGAGACCAAGATGCGTGCCATGCGGGCTCGGGTGCAGCCCTCCCCTTCTCCTCTTGCCACCCTGCTACTCGGCCGTCCATCTGCTTCCAATGTGCTCGTCTCGAGGCAAATCGCATGGCCGCTCAAGATGAATTGTGCTCCCCTCTTCCCCTTGCGCTCCTCGTCTGCTCGTCGGTACAATACCTCGTCGTCGGGCACTGCCTCACGCAGCCGACCCACCCACGCCGAAGAGGCTCGGCCCAAAGATCACCGCCATGGAGGCCAAGATGTAAAGAAGAGCAGCAGCGTGCAACGCACGGGAAGAAACAAAGCAGTAGAACCTAAGGCCGAAGCGAAGGAGGTGGTGAGCGCCACGGAGAATGGGACAACGAGGAACGTGCTACCGGCCGATGGACCCTATCGCCTGGTCGAACGGCTGGCCAAGCGCATCGCACGTAGCGGCCTTTGCTCGCGCCGAGAAGCCGAGCGCCTCATTGAAGAGGTAGGCACTGCTTTCTCGCTACATCGTCATCGTACACTCTGCATAGCGCGCTGACCTTTTTCTTCTTGGCCGCTCGTGTTGTGCGTTGCTGTACCCACCAGGGATTGGTCTCGGTGGACGGCGCGATCGTCAAGACGCCCGCCATCAACGTCACTCCTGCTTCGGTGGTGATGATCAACAACAAAAAGGTACCAACCACATCATCTGGCACTTTTGGTGTATATCTTTTTCTCTGTTACCTTATGTTCTCTGACCACACACAACACACAACACACAGCTCGAGAAGACGCCACCGCCGCAGGTGTGGCTCCATTACAAGAAGCGCGGTGTGCTGGTGACCCATCACGACCCACAGGGCCGGGAGGCGTTGTTCCCGCATCTGCGGAACATGGGACTGCCGCACCTCGTCTCCGTGGTACGTTCCCTCATCCTACGATCGTTGGAGTCGCCATTTGTCGCGTTTGTGGGCACACCCTCTCACATGCATTCGCTCGCGACATGCGTGTGCGTGTGCGAGTGTAGGGTCGGCTGGACTACACCAGCGAAGGGCTGCTGCTGCTCACCAACAACGGACGCCTGGCCCAGTATCTGGAGCACCCCAGCAACGAGTACGAGCGAAAGTACAAAGTGCGGATCCGAGGCAAGGTGCGGACCACTCTCGATAAAGCAACAGCTGTCGCTTCACGTGGGCGTGAGCGTGACGAGAGTCCAATACCGGGTTTCTTCTTGCAACAGGTGGAGCAGAAGGTCATCGATCGGCTGGCGAAGGGTATCACGGTCGGCGGGGTGGAATACGGACCCATCAAAGTGACACCGATCGAGAAAAGGCGAAGCGAGGAGGAGACGAGCACCAACGAGTGGGTGTACGTGAGCCTCACCGAGGGCAAGAACCGTGAGATCCGGCGGGTGTTTGAGCACTTCAAACTCGTCGTCACACGCCTCATCCGGGTTCAGTACGGGTACAGCGGATCCCCCCTCTCTGACCACTCGCAACGTTGCTAACAGCGATCTGTATTCGGTGATTGGTCAGGCCCTACACGCTGGACAAAAAGCTCGAACCGGGCGACGTTGTTGAGACCAGGCTAAGACTGGACTTGGTCAAGAAGGCCGACCGGTACTGGTGGCTGTGGTACGCACTCGTGCATGCAACCCTCGTCCTGGCTTTGTTCTGGTGGTGGTGGTGGTGGTGGCGGTGGTGGCGGTTGGTGGTGGTGGTGGTGGTGGTGACACTCTCTTTCTGGGTCCTCGGCTCTGTCCGCTCTGTGCGCAGGGACGGAGACCAGGAGTCCTCCACAGTGCCCTTCCCCGAGTCCTACTTCCGCATCGACCCTCGCAAGATCATCACCAGCCTCCCCACTCCCGCCTCGTCTGCCAAGCCGCCAAGTGTGCCTGCCCTGGACAGCCCACCATCATCCACCTCTCAAGAGTGAGCCATTCACGCAATGTGGAAAATGACGAAGAAATCATTTTTCAGGCCATTTCGTTTCGCTCATCTTTCACAGATCAACGCTCGAGACAAGATGCGCAGACTGTTGACATGCTGGACGTCAGTGGCTGTGGGGGCTGGCATGGGCCTGGCCGCCGCTGGGCAGTGTGACGGGGGACTGACAATCCACGCCACCACAACCAAGACCGAGACCGCAACGCCCTCGCTTCCCGACGTTGACCTGAAGGTGGCGCCCCCCGCCGCCCACGCCGCCACCTCCTCTCCCATTGCCACCGGCCCCGACGGACCCGCATCGCCCCTCCGTCTGCAGCTGGTCCTCGCGTACGCTCTCCCTCCGCCACCAAGTTCCACTCGTGCTGTTGACCAACCTGGTATCCCCGTGTGCGGTGTGTGCGGTGCGTGCGTGCGGTGTGTAGGGTCACGCGCCACGGGCTGCGGACGCCGTTGTCATCGACGGACCAGCGGAACGAGTGGCGGTGCGAGCACGACCAGCTGCTGGTGCAGCACTACGCCGATGCCGACGACGCCCTCCGCCTGACTCACTCGGACGAACCCCTGCCGGACCACGTCCCCGCCAACCTGCTCACCCGCCGCAAGCTCCTCCACGGTCGCCAGAAGCTCCGCGGTGCGCACCACGCGCCCTCGTACCTAACTCGATACCTAACTCTTCCGTTCCGGCGGAGCGGGTATCTAACTCGCACGTAACGAACTTGGTGGGTATCTAACCTTCTTCGGGGGGCGGCAGGCAACTGCCACGTGGGCCAGTTGACGCACCTGGGCCTGGAGCAGCTGCGCCGCATCGGGGAGCTGCTGCGCGAGCGCTACGTGGACGAGCTGCGGGTGCTGCCGCCCGTGTTCGACGCGCGCACCGTGTTCGTGCGGTCCACCGATACCAACCGCACCATCGAGTCCGCACAGAGCCTCCTGTGGGGCCTCTACCCGCCTTCCACCCGCCCGCACGGACGCGTACCTTACCTGCGCGCCACCTTGATCTGTGCTCCTTGCACCAACTGAAGTGTCGTGTCGTGTGTGTCGTGTGTGTTCTACGGTGGTGCGCGTGCAGGAGGGCGTGATGGATGTGAACATCGTGGAGGAGCGGCCGAGAACATGTACCCGCGGTCGGCGTGCGCCCGACTCAACCAGCTCAAGAAAGACGCACGAGCCACTCCCGACTACCTCAAGCACCGCGAGGACCGCCAGCCCTTCCAGGCATCCACCACCACCACCACCACCACCACCTCCGTCGCTTTGTCTACTACTCGCCCGCTCCGCACTAACGCGTGGCCACGACAGGATAAGGTCGAGGCGGCGCTCGGCCGCAAGGTCAACAGCTGGGACGGCCTCAACAGCACCCTTCAGGTATCGCATGCATGTCGCTACCCAGTGGCGCGCGCAGTCGCGCTCACCTTGTGTGTGTGTGTGTGTGTGTTGGCCAGACCATCATCCGGCACCGGTTGCTGCTGCCCGACGGCGTGGACCAGGATATCGTGGACGGCGTCGAGAGCGAGGCCGGCTACGAGACTGCCGTCAAGTTCTCCAGCCCCGAGATCTGCAGGCTCGCGATCGGCCGCTTCATCGGGGACGTGGTGGATCGGGTGCAGACGACGGTGGACGGCGAGGACGACGTACGCTTCGCCCTCTACTCGGGCCACGACAACACCCTCTCCCCCTTCCTCTCGGCCTTCAACGTATTCGACGCCCGCCAGCCGCCCATGGCCTCCGGTACCACCCAATCAAAGCCCATCTTTTCGTTGGCCGTGCGCGCGGTCCGTTAACATCAGCTTGTGTGCGATTGTGTGTGTGTGTCGTGTGTGTGTGTGTGTGTGTCGGTCGTGTCGTGTTGTGTGGCAGTGATTGTGCTGGAGGTCTACAAGGACGCGAAGGACAAGCACTGGGTGCGATTCCTCTACAACGGGGAGGAGATGGTGGTGCAGGCGCCGGCCAAAGGAGCAGGCGCTGAGAAAGGCGAGCTGGAGCCGCTGACGCAGCGCTACCCGGTGGCGGTGGTGCGCGACGCGGGCGAGGCCGGTGAGCGGCGGGAAGCGATCGCCTTGGCGCCGCACGAACGGTGGCGCGAGCTGGCCACAAGCCTCATCCCGATCGACTACGACGCCGAGTGCAAGGAGAGCGCACCCCTCGCCTGATGGCATAGTTGATGGTGGTGATGCCTCACAGCGATTGACTGCACTGAAATGTTAAACATTACATAGTGCTGTCCTCTTCTCCCTGCTTCCGCTCACCCACCGGGCGCGCTGACGACAGCCACTGGACCTCGTGCGTAGCCGCCAATTCGCCGGCGAGCTTCGTCTCGGCTTCTTCGTGGAGCCAGGCGGGCCCGAGCCGGGGAGGTGAGCAGGAGGTGCGCCGCGCCAGCTCGTGTCCAGTTTCCCCACGAAATGGTCGTGCAACCGGATGATGCCCTCCTGGACCAGGTCGAGCACCACGCGGTCCGCCGAGCGAAGGCGGAGCAGGGCTTCCGAGTAGAGATGGAGGTCCTCAAGTCGCTTCGTACCCCGTAGTGTGTCCGTTGCAACAGGATCGATGCCGTGGCCGCGATGCCGTGGCCGCGATGAAGGGCTGCTCTTCACAGCTCAAGTCGCAGGCGGTCATGAGTTCCTTCTCGCATCACAGGCCACATCAGCGCGTCAACTCTCGAACGGGCAAGGAGGGTTGGCTCTTTCTTCACGAAAGAGGCAAGAACGTGGTGGTGTTATGTTGGTTGGTCTCTACTTAATAATGACGACATAAGTGAAGTTGTTGAGGCCAAGGCGGACAAGGCCATGACGCCGACAACGAGGCGGAGGGTGGTAGAGGGCTGCTGGAGAGTGGGGTTGAGTTTAGGCGGTGATGTACTTGGCGATGGAGTTGATGAGGAACTTGGACTCCTTGGCGTAGTCCATGGGGATGACCTTGACGACGCTGAGCTTGACCTTGTTCTCGCCCTCGTACTCGCTCTGCGTTGCCCGCACGCGCAGGTTGTAGGACTTGAAGAGGGCCTTCTGGAACACGTCCTCGTACTGGCTCTCGCCCTGCGGCCGACTCAGCATCTCCAGCAGATCGTCCGCAGTCGTGCCATTCAGGACATCCTGTATTAATGATGAACGCGCGCATGCGGGTGTTGCCACGTCAGTCAGGTGGTGATCTGATCAAGACAACTGACGACGCGCTGCAAAGGAGATGAAGTGGCGAAGTAAGTGGTGGTGCATACCGAAGCGGTGTCGTTGAAGCAGGTGAGCCACGAGGAGCCGGAGTGGTCGTTGGCGTTGAGGCTGAGCACGTATCGCGGCTTGTAGTGGTCGTGGGTGGCGCCGCACTTGGTGCAGTGGTACGCGCCGCCGACGGACGTCACCTTCTTGTTGCACTTCTCGGTCGGGCAGGCTTCGTACCACGGCGGGTGGTCCCGGCTGTGCTTGATCTCTGTCACCGTCGCGCGCACGCTAAAGTAGACGCTCTCCTGGCCGCCAAAGGCCACCTGCTTGACCGCGGCGAAGCTCTTCCTCGTCTCGTCCCACGGGCGCTTGTCGCCGCCGCCGAAGCCGCCCTCGCCGCCACCGCCGCGGCCCTTGAAGTCGTTGCGGGACATGCTGGCGACTTCGCCCTGGCCGGCCGTCTCGAACCACTCCCGCACGCGGTCGGCTTCGGGAATGCGCGGCTCGAACTCGAGCTTGGAGGTGCGGAGCACGGTGAGCGAGCGCTGGTTGTAGTCGGAGATCTTGACGCCCTTGAACAGCACCACGAGACCGCGGTCGCCGCTCCACTGGGCGGCCTGCTCGCCCCAGAGGGTGACCTCGACCTGCGCGTTGGACGAATCGCCCACCTTGACGACGCGCTTCTGCAGCTCGTTGCCGGCCTGGGTGCGGATGTCCTGGATCGCGCCGCTCTCGAGCACGGCGCCCAGGATGTCGATGGTCTCGTCCTTGGCATGGCCACCCAGATCGGCGATATCGACAAAGTTGAACTTGTAGAAGGGGATCGACGGGTCGTCTTCGGTGGGCTGGATGAGCGCGTTCTTGTCGAGCGAGATCTCATAGTCGTTCTTGAGCGTCGAGAACCGCTTGTTGGCGTACTTGACGCTGCCGCGGCCGATCAGAAACACCTGACCGGCTTCGATCTGATCGTTCCACTGGGTGGCAGCCTCGCCGAAGAACGTGCAGCGGATCTCACCGCCAAAGGCGTCGAGCAGATCGACGCTGAAGAGGAAGCTCTGGCCGCGTGCGTTGTTGAAGGGGCGCATGTCGGACTTATGAGTGATGCGGGCCTTGATGGTCCACCGGTTCTGGTAGGGGTTGAGGCCCTTGATCGGCATTGTGCCCTCGGCAAGCGAGGGAGACGGGCCGCCAAAGCTGCTGCCGCTGCCACCGCCGCCGCGGCCAGTGTTCTGCGGCTGGAAGGGGCGCGACTGCTGCTGCTGCGGGGCGGGACGAGCCGGGGCTGCCGCGACGGGAGCCGGAGCGGCCGCACCGCCGCCAACGTCCTCAATGTTTTGTGGGGTGCCAATGGTTTGCGCGAGAGGAGGGCCAGTCAACTCAATGCTCAACACGATAACGATCCTGCACCGCCGCGCACGCGAAACAACTGTCAGATGAATAGAAAAGATTTTCTCCATGATGCTTGCGGAAGATGTATGCGTACCGACGGCCGTGTACGGTGTTGCAAATGTACTCGTTGAGGCGGACTATGCACTTGGGCTGCAGCTTACCATCATTAACGAGCTCGTTCAGCTGTGTAGCCAGCATGGCCTGCTGGAAATGAATGCCATCCGAAATCACCAATCTGCACCAAGACAAGACACAATGTGACAGTCACGGTCAGTGGGTGATGGAAGATGCAAATGCAAGCTGGAGAATGCGGGCGCAACAAACCGGTAGCGTTCGGGGCTTGTGGCTTGCCCATTTGGGCCGAGAATTTTCTTCACATCAATGACCTGCACCAAGGGCGTTCGAATCTGCTGGCCCTTGTGCATGGCCTCCACGGCCCCGTGAGTAAGCTGGCTCGACATGTCTCTTTATATCTTCTCTCCTTCCTTCAAGTGAGCGCTTACGAAGTACTCCCGAGTTCGCGTAGCCAAAAAGCCAGGTCGCAGATTAACGTTCGTGTGGCTTGTGCCTTCGCGCCAAGGACTAAGTTGTTTCCCGCCACAAAGCTCGCCTCATTAAAAAGCTGTGCCTTTTCCTCGAAAACTTTCAAATCTTTAAAATTTCACAAGACAGGAAATGACAAAGAAAGAACAGCGAAAGGATTTATGACAAGGGTGGGATGAGAGAAGAACAACCTTCGATGCGGCGTGAAGTGGTGAGGTCTCATTTGTTGTCGCGGTCCTCACGCTCGGAGCGGGGAGGGCGCACGACGAACTCGTGCTTCATGAGGTTCATGCGGAAGAGCGCGGCCTTGGTGTTGCGCTGGTACTCCTCGCCCATGCGCAGGGCGCGTTCGAAGGTGTTACAGCGCTCGTTGGTGGTCCTCGCGTAGAGAATCTTGTTGTGGCTGTCGATGCGCGCCTGGATCGAGTTCTCCATGATGAGGCCCGCCAGCTCCTTCTCGAGGATTGGCACATCGGTGTTGAAGGCCTGGGCCATCGTGTTGAGGTCGACCGAGGTGAAGGGAGAGAAGTACTGGACGATGGCCTTGTTGCGGATCTTCTGGTAGAGGCTCTCCACGTGGTCGTGCAGGTGAATGTCGAGCTCCAGCTCAGGCTGCAGACATCAGACACACCACGTGATGATGAGCGATTCGCCTCAACCTGGAGGTAAAGGGGCCAACCGAGGTAGCGGAAGGCGGCATACCCTCAGCTGCTGCAGATAGTTCAAGCACGAAGCGTAGCGACTGTTGTAGAAGTCAGCGATGAGCTCCCTCACCTGGGGCACAAGCTCGAGGAAGTTCTTGAAGGCGGTGTTGTCCAGCACCTGATGAGAGTTAGGGGCACAGACAAACGAAGAGTGAGTTGGGAGAAGGCGAGGCGCGCTAAAGAGAAGTATCAGCGAGCGTCGAACCTTGCTCTTAAGCTCGGCACGATCAAACATGGCCAGCGCGCAAAGACCACCGAAGATGGCCACGTCCTGAGGCGAGATGATCTGCAGGCCATGGCAAAGCGAACACAAGTCAGGCACTCGAGCTTGAGACAAAGACGGCAACGACTACAACGAAGACGTACCTCGTTAAAGTGGTTGCCCAGGTCGAAGGTGGTCTCGAGGAACTTGCGCGCGGCAAGCTTGTACTTCCTGGTGTCGAGGTGGGCGAGGCCAGCGCACACCTTGAGCTTGGCCACCACGACGGGGTCGCAGCTGGCGTCTCGCACCTCGGGCTCTTGTTCGGCCTTGTTCACGTAGTTGACTACGTGCGCGAAATTGCCCATCTCAATGCTCACCTTAATCACGTTGAGGCACATCGAGATGTTGTGCTTCGAGGTCGTGCAGTAGTCCCTCGTACGCACGTAGCACTTCAGGGCCGACTGAAGGTCGCCTCGGTCGTAATGGAAGTCGCCCAAATCGTTGTGTCCCATCTTCACAGAAAAAAGAATTAAAATAAATATTGAAGGGGGGACGAAGCAGGTAAGCAGCGTACCCTAATGCTCTCCTTGATGAGGTTGGTTCTGTAGCCGTTGAGCTCTTGCTCGAGCCTGTCGTTTTGCTGCTGAGCCTTCTTCTCTACGCTGTCGATCCAAGCCTGGTCTTTCGTGAACAGGCCTCCATGCTTCTCGATGGCCTTGTCCACGACCTCTCTGTAGAGTGCCGTGTTGTGCGTCTTCTTGATTTCCTCAAGAGCGATGCGCGTCGCCTCCAGCTCCAGGTCCTTCGAGCGCTCGGCGATGAAGATAGCGCGGAAGATCTTGGTGTGGCCCGAGTAGTTGCTCAAGTAGCCTTCCAGATCAAAGTCCTTGTAGGAAAAGGGCGATGGGGTTGGGCCAGCATTCGCCGCAGTTGGGGCCGCATCCATCTTGTCAGCCTGCATTCTTCTCGCTCAGGGTGTGCGGATTTTTGAATCACAGAATAAATCCACAAATCAATGTGTTGCTCAATCAGTGAAGAGCAAGAGTGGCAGAACATTTCTGTCAAGGTATGCACGGAATGCATGAAAAGAAAAGAGGCAGGAAACAAAAAGAAACGCGAGAGCACATCACGATTGGGGCGCAAGTCAATGGAGAGAATGGATTCAGGGCAGCCCCGAACGCCGCGTCGTAAGGGCGGCAGGAAAGGCGGGCGCAAGTCTGGACGCCAGAGGACCCAATCTCGATCAGACAGTGCCCAGCCCCCAAGTAGCGGCACCCCATCTGGTGGCGGCGCGCCACCGGCAGCCCATCCCTCCACCTCCTCCTCTTCTTCCTCCTCTTCGTCATCCATGGGCAGCGTAACCTCATCCACTTCGTTTTCGTCTTCTACCTCGCCATCTGCTTCGCGATTGCCGCCCAATTCGCTGTTCCCTCTGTTCGCCGTGCTGGGTCGGGAGGAGGAGAAAGAGCTGGGGGGCGGTGCCGCTGGTGGTCCGGTGCAAATCGATCGCCCAACCAAGATCCTCATGGAGCTGGACCGCGGGCTGCGGTCGCCCCGCACCAGCGACCAGTGCGAGGCCATCTTCTTCTTCGCACGCCTGATCTCCACCTACCCGTGGCCCATCATCGTAAACACTGCCGCGCTCAAGCTCGCGGACCTCTTCCGCAACAGGTGCGCTCATCATCGTCATCCACACCAGCACCTCGTCCTCGTCCGCTCGCGTCTCGCTGACACGTTCTGTTCTCACACGTCGTGTTGTGTTGTGCGCACGTCGTGCGTCGTGTGCAGCAACAACTTCGTGCGACACGCCGTGTGTGAAGCGCTCCGCCAGTGTGAGCCGGTGCTCACAGCGCAGGTGCTCAACGTAGACGAGGTGCTTCGGCGCATCCAGAGCGTGCTCACCAGCAATGATCCCGTCGCCCGCGCCATCACTCTCAGGTAGCGGTTTCGATCTTCTTTCTCTTCTTCTTCTTCCCGCTGCGGCAAACCACCCAGGTAGTCTCTAAGCAAAACAGCGTTGCTGATGGCCACACTCATCCCACAGGACCCTGTGCGGCATGCCCAACCTGGTCGCTGACCGATTGGACGTGCACCACGCGATTCGGGACTGCTGGAGTTCCACGCACGCGCTCGAGCGGGAAGCCGTGCTTTGGGCCATGGACAGGTCCGGCCCCACGCCCACAGCTCTCTTCCCATTTCTCTCTGCTTACACATCGCTCGGCCCCGTGTTAAATGCCGCACGCACGCACGCACACGACACACACCAGAGTGTCGGCCCGCTCGCCGACGTTTGCGTGGGGCGTGCTGGAGCGACTGGCGGAGATGGTGCACGGCCTGAACGCGGCACCGCGCGACAAGATGAAGCTCGTACACATGCTCCGCCGCATGCATCACGACCCCGCCATGGCCCAGCAGTCGCGCGCCATCTGCGAAGAACTGCTCGAAGACTACCCCGGTGAGTTCGCCCTGTTTATCTCTTTCCTCCCGTTGGCGCATTTTTGCTTCTCGTCTCATGCGACACACACGCACGACACACACGCACGACACAGGGAGAGCGTTTACGGTGACGGTGTTGGACGCCCTCACTGAGCTAGCACTGCGGTCTCGTCTTGAGGCGTCCTCGCAATCGGCCTTCCTGCTGCACCGCCTGGAGTCCGACCCTCGCCTCGCCATCAAGCTCACGTGCCTCCGGTACTCTCTCTCCCGCTCTCTCAGCGTCATCGTGCAGCGTCTACGAATTCCGAGCATTCCTTGAGCAGTGACCTCGCGTTGTAACACATTTTTTGCTGTTGATGACGTCAGCTGCCTGCGTAAGCTGGCACCGACGGCAGGCGCGCACAGTGCGCTGTCGCTGCAGCCGCTGGCGCGGCTCATCCACGGGTCGCCCTACAGCCTCGTCCGGCGGAACGTGCTGCTGTTGCTCGTCCGCATCTCCTCGCTCCACGCCATGGAGGAGGCCCACGACTGGGACCAAGTCGCCACCGCCTGCGAGGTACCAGCCGCTGCCCCAGGCGATGAGTTTGTTGTCATATCCTAGCGTGCACCCGTGACTGACCGCCCAATTCCACTTGCAGGCCTTGTTGCACAGCAACGACGCACATGCGGCCGCGTTGGCCGCGCAGGTATTGACCAACGCCTGCACCCACGCTTCGTCTTCCCCGCCTCCGACGCCCGATCCTGCTCACGTACGCCGCCGCCTCTACAGCAGCTGATGAAGAGAAATTCGCGTCAGCTGCTGCTAACTCGCCAATGGCCGCCTGGCTGCGCTTTTCTTTTCCTGCTGCCGTTGCTGCTCCAGCCGGCGTTCGGGCTGATGGTGGTGCTGGCGGCCCGGCTGGCGGTGTGGAGTCTCCCCGAGGAGAAGCGACCGGCGGCCGAGCTGCGGGTGGTGCGGAGCTTCACGCAGTGTTTGGTCCGCCTTCTTAAGTGGCAGCCCGCCCTGGCGCCCACCCTGGCCGCGGCCCTTGTGCCCATCCTCCCCCGCGCCCCCAGTACGCCCACAGCCTTCGCCCCCCCCCCCAAAGCTCCACCGGAATCTGACGTATGCCCGGTCAATGCAATGCTTCGAGCAGAGGAGGCGGTGCGCTATTTGGCGCAGTCCGTGCTGGAGTGCGCGCGTGCATCAAAGCAGGCCGTGCGGCCCCACATCCGCGACCTCGCCGCCTATCTCAACCACGCCGTCGACACCCACGCTCCCCTCGTACGCTCCCACTCCCACTCCCCACCTCACCCCGCGCGGCCCGGTGCCCGTTCGCCCCTGAAAGAATGAATGGCATGAGCTCACTCTCCGCGTTTGCGCTGGGCGGCCCGAGCAGGGGGCGGTCTTCCGGGCGCTGCTGATGGCGTGCAGCGCTGCGGAGGCGCAGGAGCTCGCGGCGCCGGTGGTCGCGCGACTGGCCGACTCCGGGCGATACTGGGATTGCTTCCTCAGCGCCCGGGCCGCCCTCGCCCTGGGCCACCCGGCCCTCGCCGCTCCTGTCTTCCGCGATCTCGCCCCTCGCGTACTACCCCCCCGCACACGTGGCACATTTTTGTGATTGGCGGACCGTTCCCATGCAACGCGAGCTGGCTGGGTTGTGCTGACGTGGCTCTATCGTGTCACTCGCCAGGTGGAGTCGGAGAGTTTGTATTCGTGGCTGCGCGCGCTGTGCTCGCTGTGCCGGGCCGAGGCTGCCCTCTCGTCGGCGTCGCAGCAGCCCTCTACCGGCGGCGGCGCCTCGCCCCTGCCCGACGCCGTCCTGGGATCCTTCTACCACGCCCTCACCGCCCTCCAGGCCTCCGGCGTCGGCGGGTCCCAGGGCCACGTACACAGCTCCCTCGCCCCCCCCCCGTCGAACCTCCCTGACTCCTCATCTCGTGTGTCGTGTCGTGTCGTGTCGTGTCGGTGCAGTCGAAGCGAGGGAAGGGCTTCCAGCAGGCGTTCGTGCACCTGCGGACGGAGTTTTTGGAGGGCGCGTTCCGGCTGCTGACGTGCCTGCGGGAGCTGCCCCTGGCGCCCTTTGCCTATCCGTCGGCCGAGGAGGTGGCCGCCGGCCGCTTCCACCTCCTGAGCGAGCAGGCCGGCCGGTGCGCCGCCTCCCTCCGCAACACCGCCCTCGCTTACGCCCACCTCGCGCGGTGCCAGTTCGACATCGACGACCTCTCCCTCGCTACTCTCCAAGCGTACGCAGCCCAATACCCCCCCGCTCGAAGTCTTTTCCCGGTCAAGTCAAAGCCGGTCGGGTCCGGTCCGGTTGAGTCAAACCAAATGAGCTCACTGCGACTCTCAACCTCCACAACTCAATCGCAGGCAGCAAGAGGTGGCGCAGTCAGCTGCGTGGGCGGCCTCGCAGCTGGCCCGAGAGCTCAATCCGCAGGCGACGGCGCCGCAGCCCTCAATCGCCCGCTCGACCGCCGGCACCCAGATCCTCACACCCAACGTACTGCACGACACGACACGACACGACACGACACGACACGACCAACGACACGACCAACGACACGACACAACGACACGACCAACGACACGACCAACGACACGACCAACGACACGACCAACGACACGACCAACGACACGACCAACGACACGACCAACGACACGACCAACGACACGACCAACGACACGACCAACGACACGACCAACGACACGACCAACGACACGACCAACGACACGACCAACGACACGACCAACGACACGACCAACGACACGACACGACCAACGACACGACACGACACATGTTGCGTGACAACTGACGTGTGTGTTTTTGTCACGGCAGGCGTACACGGCGACGCTGCGCAAGTTGTGTGTGGGTGTGTCGACCAAGGCGAGCGACGCGTGGGACGGGTGGGCCGAGCGGCTGGGCGCCTTCCTCCGGCAGGTGGTGGGCCTGCCCTGCGCCTACCCGCCGTTCTTCTTCCAGGCCCGACCTGCCACCGATATCAAGGTACCACCACGCACCCGCATCTTCTGCTCCTACTTCTCTTCACCAAGCCGTGTGTCGCGTGTCGCGTTTATCAGTTGGCCGTGTCGGCCACGGTGGGCGAGGGCGTGGCGTCGACTGGCGGCAAGCAGGGCGTGGTAGTGCGCCTGACGGGCCTCCTGTCCCAGCCGCCCTCCGCCAAGCGCACCGTCTCCCACGTCGAGGTTCGTAACCGCGCGTTCACCTCGAGTGTTGCAGACGACTAACCCGATTTTCCCCAATGACAAACCTGCCAGGTGACGGTGGTAATGCGGAAGGCGCACCACGGCAAGTCGGCGGACAAGGGCGGCGAGGAGCGGAAGATGCAGGTCCAGATGGCGCTGGAACACAAGAGCTCCTTTGCCGGTACGACCGTGGTGGAGCTCTGGGGTCCGGCGCACTATAGCGTCTCGCTCGGGTCCACGCTCACCCTCACCGACACCCTCCACGCGCGCTGGCTCCACTCGGCCGTCCCGCCTCGGCCCGTCCTCCTCAACGTCCCTCCCGCCCGACACTCGTGAGACCCAAACCACAACCAAATGAATAATAACACTAATTTAAATTCATGACTTCAAATGGTGAGCTTGTGCGACGCCAAGGACGTGACGAGTGTTGTGCTCACTTGCGTGCGTGCAATCCATGTGGTGGCATCGACAGCTCCATTTCTCGTTCCACAACAACTCTCACACACACACAATAGAGAGAGAGAAAGAGAAAGAGACGTGTCAGCACACAGCACACTCACAACACACACAAGCACAACACACACAACTCACCTGGCACACCAGTGGCAGCAAGATGCAGCAACCATGGTTGAAAATGGTGGCGAAAGGCAAGACACAGCTGTCCTATTCGAAGAGTGTGGTGGCTCCAGTTGGCCAGCTGGACATCGGCGCAGCGGCTCAAGAAGAGGGCAGCGGGCTGCTCGTGGAGCGGAAGCCGCGGGTCCAGATGGCACTGAAGCTCCTTCTGGGATTAATCTTGTTGTTTCCAGCTGGCGCTGTGTAGCGGGAATAAAGAGATTCATGCTTCAAGAGGGGGGTGGTCGAAAGAAGGAGGTGAGCTTGTGTGACCCCAAGGACGATGACGACGACGAGGAGGCCAATGAAGAGGACTTTCTCTTCCTCTTCACGCCGCCCGACGAATTAGCGGAGGTCGATGGTGGCCGTGGTGGTGACGAAGGTAACGATTTGGTGATGGTTGAAGCCCTTGCCAGTGACGAAGCCAACGACGAGGCCGATGCCGCGACAGCGTTGGTGCTCGGGACCGGTCGCCGGTTAAGGGTATGCGCCGCAGTGGCGGCTGCCTCGGCTTTGAAGAAGGCGAAGATGGGCTGGGCCAGGCCCGTGGCCGCCTCCCGCGTCTTCTTCTTCTTCTTGGCCGACGCCGCAGGCACCAGCCGCCGCGGCTTCCAGAAGCTACCCTCCCGCACCAGGCGATCCAGTTCCGGCTCCACCACCTCCCACACCTGTTCGCCACCACCATCATCATCAACATCAATATCAATACCATCACCATTGCTACCATCACCATCGTAGAGCAGTCGTACGGCGGCTAGATTGCGGGCCTCGACGTCAAAGTCGTCGGGCGGATGCTGCTCGGCGCAGCGTAGTGCGGGCACAGCGATGTAACTGGACGTGTCGACCGCATCA